TATAGCTGGTATATGTACAGGTAAAATATATGGAATAAAAAAATTATTTTCAAAACTAAAAATATTAGAATGCCAAGATTTCCCAATAAATAAAACTACAAAAATTTTTGAAACTTTAAAAAATGTGGTACTTTTAAACAATATAAAATATGTTTATTAGATAATACAGATTGTAGAATTAGACTTAAATTTAGATGGAAATTTGCTTTTCAATGAATGTACAACTGACTTTCAACAGTACCAAAATTAATTGAATAAGGAAAAAAATCTTTTCACAAATGCTAATATGTTATGCAAAAAATATTTTAAAAGGAATTGTGAACTTAAATACAAAAGCATAAACTTTTTAAAAATTTTTTGTGAATTTCATACAATATATCTTGATTACTTAGACCTCCTCCCCTTTCTGCACCCCACCGTATTTCACGCATTCCGTCATCTTTGTTAGGGCCTATCAAGTCAACTTTGCATCTTCAAACGTCCCTCAGTGAGAGTCCATCCACTGGAGCCTGATCAGCCAACTAGAGTCACTCTCTTAAAGAAAACCAACTCTCCCTCTCCCAGTAGTCACTGGTTGCCAATAGTTTCTCAGCTAAGGTTAGAGTGACCCATGCAGGCTCAAATCAGACAAAAACCTAGCAAAGAAGGGGGAAAAACTATTTTTAAACAGACTTCAAGTGAAGCAAAGACTTTAACGTAAGATATGAAACTGCGAGATTGTTAGAGGAAAAAGTAGGGAAAACCCTTCAAGACAGGGATAGCCAAGGACTTCCTGAATAGATTCTAAGTTGTTCAAAAAATATTGCCAACAATTGACAAATGGAAGCCTGTAAAATTAAAAAAAAAATTCTGCATACTTAAAGAAATAATAAAATGAGGCAGCCTACAGAACGCAGAAAATTTCTGCCAGCTATACACCTCATAGAAGAGTAATACCGGAAATACACAAAGAACTCAGAAACCCAAACAACAAGGAATCAAACCACCCAATGGAAAAAATGAGTCCTGGGCTGGAGACATGGCTCAGTGGTTAAGAACACTGGCTGTTCTTGCAGAAGACCCGGGGTCGTATCCCAGCACCCACATGGCAGCTAACTGTCCATAACTCCAATCCCAGGGGATCCGACAGCCTCTTCTGTCCTCTGCAGGCATTGCATGACACGGGTGCACTTACCTACATGCAGGCAATACATGCATAGACAATAAAAAATAAAAGTAATAAATAAAATATTTTTAAAAAATAAAAAAATGGGTCCATAAAATGATCAGAAAATTCTCAAAAAATGAAACATAAATAGCTGGCCAACAAGTGTATAAAAAGTTGTTTAGCCTCACGAGCCTCAGAACAAAACTATAACTAAAACTAAAACTATATTGAGATTCCATCTCACCCTAATCAGAATGGCTTCCATCAAGAAAATAAATAACAAATACAGAAGAGGATGTGGGGGAAAGGGAACTCTTACACAGGTCTAGTGGGAATGTAAACTAGTCCTGTCACTACAAAAATCAGCATGAAAATTGCTCAAAGAAACTAAAAATAAATAATTCTATTATATGTCCCATCTATACCACTGCTGGGTATTTATTCAAAGTACTAAGCTAACATATCATAGAAATACTTGCACACCAATGTTTATTGTAGCACTACCCACAATAGCCAAACTATAGAACCAACCTATGGATAAAGAAAATGTGGTTTTATTCCATTGCACATTGAGATTCTTTTCAGCATAAGGAAGAACTAAGTTGTATTATTTGCAGAAAAATGGACACAACTAAAGATGATCCTGTGAATAAATTAAGCCACTGCAGAAAGATTACTATCACGTTTTCTCTTATATGCGTTTCCTTTATTTTATATAGATACGTAACATCTCGTATGTATGTATGTATGTATGTATGTGTGACATGAAGGCAGAAGTCAAAGTCTTTAGGGGAACAAAAAGGACTAATGGGGTGGAGGGGGGAAGAGGAGAACAAGAAAGGGCAGGGGGTTGTGAGAGGGAATGCATTCAAAAAACATTATGCTCTTATATGTAGACTTTTTTATTTATTTATTTTTTATTTTTATTTTTGGTCTTTTTGAGACAGGGTCTCCCTGTAGCCCCAGCTGTCCTAGAACTCACTATGTAGACCAGGCTGATCTTGAACTCACAGAGATCTGCCTGCCTCTGCCTCCCAAGCGCTAGGACTAAAGGTGTGTACCACTATACCTGGTAGCAAACACAGTATCTTTCACAATGAATATACACAGAGGAGTTTTTTATTTGTTTGTTTGTTTTTGAAACAGGATATCCCTGTAGCCCCAGCTGTCCTAGAACTCACTATGTAGACCAGGCTGGCCTTGAACTCACAGAGATCTGCCTCTACCTCCTAAGTGCTAGGACTATACCTGGTGGCAAGTTTTTTAAAACTACCTTTTAATCTCTGAAGAAAACAATGGAAAAAAGACTTTATGAATTTGTGTTATGTAGAGATTTCTTAAATAGGAGTCTGAAATATCTTGAAAGAAAAACCATGAGCAAATTGGCCTTATTGAAATTAAATGCTTTTGGTCTTCTAAAAGCACTACTAAAATAATGCAAAGCAATCTGAAATTTTTAAGCATACTCAATAAATTGTTCATATACAGGTTCTGTAAAAATGCCTTAAAAATCAATAAGACACAAAATTAAGTTGAAAACTGGACAAAAAGATTGACATTGGATACTACCAAAACAGACTTAAAAATTGGCAATAAGCATGTGAAAAGTTGTTCATCATTAGTCTTTAAGAAATGGCAATTAAAACTGCAGTGAGATTTAATTACATATGCATTAGAAGGTGTGAAATGAAAGAGACTGGCAATGCCAACTATTGGTGAGGATTTGATGTAACTGAAACTTTCATATGATGCTTTTGACAGGAATTCAAAATAATACATGCACATTGCAAAATACTTTGACATCTTTTATAGAATTAAACACATTCATGGTATATAACTCAACAATTTCTATTTTTCAAGAAAAAATTAAAACATCTGTCAATTGATGTGGAAATGTGCTCAAAACTAGAAATAAGCCACCCAAATGTTCATCGATGGAAAATGAAGAAATAAATTGTGGTACAACCACACAGTAGAATACTACTAAACAACGGAAAGGAATGAGCTACTGATGTATTATTGAGCAATAAAGATGAGTATCAGAAATTTTTTCTAAGGGGCTAGAGAGATGACTCAACAGTTAAGAGCACTGACTATTCTTGCAGAAGACCCAGGTTCAAATTCCAGCACCCACATGGCAGCTAACAACCATCCATAACTCCTGTTCCAGGAGATCTGATGCCCTCTTCTCTGTCCTTTGCAGGAAGTGAATGGCATGGGTGCACTTACATATATGCAAGCAATACATGCATACACATAAAATTAAAATTAAAATAATTTTTTAAAATTATGCTAAGGAGTTGGAGAGATGGCTCAGGAGTAAATACAGTGGCTGCTTTTGCAGGGTTCAATTCCCAGTACCCACATAACAGCTAACAACCATCCATAACTCCAGTTCCAGGAGATCTGATACCCTCTTTTGTCCTCTGCATGCATTGTACACACAGGTGTTCTTATATCTATGGAGGCAAAACATGCATATACATAAAATAAAAATAAAATTAATAAAAAATTTTAATGTTATGCTAAGTAAAAAAAGGCAGACATGAATGGTCATTCAGTATATGATCCACTATTTTATATTTCAGATGACACAAAATTACAGAAACCAAAAACAGATCAGTGTTTCCCAGAATCTGGGGGCAGACAGGGGAATTGACTGTAAAGGATCAACTTCAAAGCCATATATTATTCTGTATCTTGACTGAACCACTGTCATTGGTTGGGCTCATGAAACTGCATACCAAAAGAGCTATATATTTTTTCAAATGTATTTATTTATTCTTTATGAAAATTTCATATAATGTATTTTGATAGTATATAAAGCCCTTCCCTTAAGACCTACCTTTTTATGCATGTAAAATTTGCCTCTGATTTAACAATTATTTTCCCTGATTTAAATTTTTTACCAGCTTTAGCTGTTGAACTTATATCAATAGACAAAATGTCAAAACTGACTTCTTTGCTTCCATAATTAGTAGCTGTTTGACTTGAGCAGGTCGTTTACACTAACCACATCTTCATCTGTGAAGTTAAGATAAATTTTACCTGCCCTGTAATCTCAGTACTAGGTATGCTGAGACAAGAGGGTCTCCATAAATTTGAGGCTCATCTAGGCTACATAGCAAAACCCAGACTCAATAAACAAACAACATATAAAAAGGAACACCTATATACAATGGGTCTTTTCACTCTATAGTAATAAGCATTCATTTAAATTCCTATATAGAACTTGTTATAAAAGCAGCCTTCAAGGATAAGCACTCTGTGGCCTCTTGTTCTCTACACATTGGTCAATTGTAACAGAGTCTTTCAGACAGCTGATCAGTTACACAAGTCCAATGCATGCTCAGATCAGACAACATCCCAGTATAAACATGAAGAATTGGGTTAAGAAATCCCAACCCAACCTAATGAACTTTTGGGAATTGATGGCTGCTGAGAGAGAGAGAAAGACAGTGTCTTACAGGGGTGGGACTTTTGGTGGGCCCAGTGGATGGTCACACACTGACGGGCATTTGGGGACACAAATTGGACTCTATAGGCCATATGTATATATTATATATATATACACATATATACATATATGTGTATATATATATACATATGTATATACACATATATATATGTGAGAGAGACAGAGAAAGAGAGAGAGTGCATTCAGTTGGGTGAGAGGGGTGGTAGGAGAGGTGTGGAGAGGGGAGAGGATCTAAGGACCATCAAACTATATTGCATGAAAATTAAAAAAAAAATTTTAATTGCAAAAATTCCATTTTAAAAAGCAGCCTTCTTTTCTCCTTTGATCTGCCATCCCCTGTACGCTTGTCTCAGTCTCTCCCCATGTCTTCTCACAAGACTTTCAGAATCAAGCAATTCCTGTCCAAGAAACAAAAGCAAAATCGTCCTATTCCCCAGTGGACTCAGATGAAAACTGGTAACAAAATCAACTTTGCGAGAAGACACTGGAGGGGAACCAAGCTGGGTCTGTGAGGATTCACACAAGATGACATGGCTGACTGTTTAAGCTGAGTCATGGTCATCATTTGGCCTACCAGATGCAACTGAAAGTTTTTAACCTGGTGATTTGATCATATTAGGAATCTGATTTGCTTTTTTATCTGCTTTGTGTGAGTTAATTGATTGGTTCAGTAATAAATATGTAGAACCTTCAGAATAAAAAAAAAAGCAGCTTTCAAGTATCACCACTTTTTTTTTTTAATGTTAGGGAGAAATTCACTGAAAATACTTTCACATTGTTTACAACATGTTTTATGACCTCATTTCAGATATTAAGCTCCTATGAGAACTTATTTTTACTCCTATTATTTTAAAAACAATCACCATATTTTTCTTAAAAGTAACATAATAATAACTTGCTACATATTTTAATAATATATGTAATGTGGTCTTTATAATAAAGATTTAAGATAACAAGTGTGTGAATAATTTATTATAAATTTAGAAAGAAGATAAAGATAAAAATGTGACTGAATTATACACTTGAGCCTCATTAATAATACTTTCTTTAACTGTGCTGTTAATTTGGAACTGCTTACCACAGACCAGCTATTTCTTATTATATAAGAATTTCTAAGAATTTCTAATCTTCTGAGCACAGAACATCTGTCTCCATGTCTGTGCGATTACCACGTAGATTACTGTATTCCATGTCAAAAACTACCGGAAGCATAATATATATATTTGAGACAGAGTTTCCCTATAGTCACAACTAACTTGGAACTCACTATGTAGAGCAGGTTGGGCTCGATCTCAGAGATTCTCCTGCCTTTGGTGTGCTAGAATTAAAAAGGTATGCACCACCACGCCCAGCCCCTACCCCAAGCTACATTAAAATGTTTTCTTCTTCATTAATATATGCTATATCATTTTTTAAAACTACAATTATGCCAGGCATGTTGGTGCATACCTTTAATTCCCCAGCACTTGGAAGGTAAAGCACTCAGATCTCTCTTGAGTTCTAGGCTAGTCTGGTCTATATAGCAAGTTCCAGGCCAGCCAGGACTATCTATGAAATGAGGCTCACCAAAGAAATGCAGAGCTGCCTTCAGAAGTGTAAATGGAGGATGGGATGCATTTCTAGAGAATGTGAAAAAAGGAAAGGAGATTCACAAACATACTCATTTTGAGGAACTTGGGAAAACTTGAAAAACTGGACTTCAAGTGTAGTAAAGTAGAAAATTCATGCTATCTACGAAAACAGCAAACCTGTAGCAATCTTAGCGGCTGAGACCCTTAGGCAACCCCCCTGTTTTACTCATGCTCCAGCATCTTTGAAACATGTTCATGGAGAGGAAGTGATTAAGGATTAAGGAGAGAGGATCTGCATAGGGACCACTGTGTTTTTACAGGGCTCAAGCACACAGACCTCAAAGGAAATCTAATCCGGGTGAGCTGGGTCAGAGTCAGTGACTTCATGTAATTGGCATTGAACATAATTCTCACAGCTGCCGCACTGGTTTCTGGCTAGTTTCCCCAACCCAGACATAAACCTAGTCAAACACAAAAATGTAAAGTGAAATCACAAGAGATTCCTTTCTCCTCTGCCTGTAAAGGATGTTCTGATGTCATTTTCAGTAAATTGCCCAATGATACCCACTGGGTAACACACTTTGCAAGTAGCATTGCTCACCTTTTTTTTTCCTACAGAGGAGCACCAGGTTGGCATGAGTCATAATACCTATTTTAATAGCCATTACTCGAGCACAGACTATCTGAAGGTGAGAATACAGATGCATTATTGTGAATCCACTTTGATTTAAAAATGATTTAACATAAAACCTTAGGGATTAAATAATTATTCTATACAATATCTAATGAGATACCTCACCACTTACTTTGACATAGTCTGGTAGACACATGACACCTACCAGTTATTAATTAGTCTGAGGGTGCCATTAGCTAGTACACCAACCTCTTCAGTAAAGTCTTTAAATGTACAAAAAACATATGTAAGCAATAAATACACACATAAATATTTTTAAATATTAATAAGAGAAAAAAGATTCCTGGAAAATGACTAAAACCACAACATAAAATGAAGTACTTGGACTTGGATTAAGTGGCTAATGTGGACAGAGTTATCTGCGAGAGATTACAACTAGTTCTTGGATAATACAAAATGTGAAACAATGGAATTAGAATGATTCCTGTGGCTCGCTGGCCAGCTGGTCTCACCACATCCTTGAGATCTAGGCTCAGTGACAGACCTGATCTCAAAAAATAAATTGGGGCCTGGAGAGATGATTCAGTAGTTAAAAGCACTGGCTGCTCTTGCAGAGACCCCAGGTTTGGTTCCCAGAACCCCACAAGGCATCTAGCAATCTACTATAACTCCAGTTCCAGGGGATCCAAAACCCTCTTCTGGCATCTGTGGGCTTTGCAAGACATGGGTGCACTTACATAAATTCAGGCAAAACATTCATACACATAAAATGAAAGAAGGGGGGAGAGAGGGAGAGAGGGAGAGAGGGAAAGAGGGAGGAAAGAAGGGAGGGAAGAAGGGAATGAGGAAGGGAGGGAGGAAGGGAGAGAGAGAAAGAAAAGAAAATATTTAAAAATAAAACAAACTGGAAAATATATTGGAGAAAAAGTATGTGAAGCAAGATTAGAAAATGAAAAACTGTGTGGACAGAGAAGGATGAACATTGCTAATAAACATGTCAGTATGCATAAACATGCTGGTTTGTTCAAGGGATTACATACTTTTAAGTGCAGAAATAGAAAAACAGTGAGAATCTTAGATTCCACACTAACTAACAAGTAGTTTTACAATTTTATCATGTTGAAAAATGGGAGGGTGTTGTGGAGAGTTGGTAGCAAGGAGACTAAAGACTGCTAAAGTGGTTTTGGGGAAGATGAGCCAACAGAAACTTTAGCAACAGAGTTGGGAAGATGATCCAGGTGCAAAGAAGTTAACAGGAGTGGCTGGCAGAGCATTTGCTTAGCACACTGCAAGGCTGGGACTGAATCCCAAATACTGCCAAAACAGTGAAGAAAAAAATCAGAAAGGACAGGAGTAGGCTATCAACCTAAGCCACTCAGTGAGTTCTAGGCTAGCCTGGCTACATAGTGAGAGCCTCTCATTAAGTAAGTAAATAGATGATAGATAGATAGATAGATAGATAGATAGATAGATAGATAGATGATTGATAGATAGATAGATAGAGAGATAGATAGATAGATAGATAGATAGATGATAGATGATTGATAGATGATAGATAGATGATAGAAGATAGATAGAGAGATAGATCATAGATAGATGATAGAAGATAGATAGATGATAGATAGATAGATAGATAGATAGATAGATAGATAGATAGATAGATGATAGATAGATGATAGATAGATAGATAGATAGATAGATAGATAGATAGATAGATAGATAAAGGAAAGAGAGAAATTAGCTGACAATGAATTCAGGTTACAAGACTGGGACCCGGAAAAGGGCTGGCACTATTCAAAAAGAAACAAATGTACGTGACAAGTGAATATTTATTGAGAAATTACTTTGTATAAGCCCATGAACTTGATAAAAGAAAAGTGCTAACAACTCAGAATACAGGCTCTACACTGAGATAGGCCTGCATTCAACTCTAAGATTTACATATGACATTCAACTAGCATTTAGTGTTTCGCTTTGATTTCATCACACAGCCAAGGCTAATCGTGAACTCCTGATCATCCTGTCTTTTCTTCCTAAATACTGGAGTTACAGGTGTGTGCCACTACATCCAACTTAGCCTTTACATTATGGTCAATCGATTATTTATCAAGGATATCAAGACCATGGGGGAAGGGAGAGTCTTTCTCAACTAGTACTGGGACAACTGGGTATCCACATGCAAAGAATGAAGCTGAAACACTATCTCTAACCATAGCAAAAATAAATTCAAAGTGAACCATAGAACTACATGTTACATCTAATACTCTGTAAACAGGGATCCAGAGCATTAGGTTAGATTACAGAATGGTTTTGTAGCTACAGCGCTAAAAGTACAATAACAAAAAATAATGGACTCATCAAATCTTAAGACTTATGTGTCAAAAGTTACCATTAAAAAGGTGAAATAAAGCCAGACAAGGTGGCACATACCTTTAATTCAAGCATATTGGAAGCAGAGGCAGGTGGGTCTCTAGGGGATCAAGACCAGCCTCAACTACATAGTCAGTGCTAGGTCAGCTGGAAGGAGACCCTGTCTCAGAAAATGAAAAATCAAGGGAGGGGGGTGGATATTAATAGAATGGGAAAAACACTTGTAAAATCATATGTGTGACACGGAATTTCTATCTAGAATAAACAAAAATTCCTACAACTCAACAACAAAAAGGGCAGACCAAATTCAATATAAGCAGAACAATTAAAAAGGTATTTCTAAAATAGTTAAATACAAATAACCAAGCAACACCTGAAAAATATATTAGTTGTTAGAGAAATGTATATCAAAGTCACACCAATGAGGAGCGTTATAATTAGGAAGAACAGGAAAGGGGCTGGAAAGATCGCTGAGCAGTCAAGAGCACTGGCTGCTTTTGCAGAGGACCTGGGTTTGGATCCCAGCACCCACATTGTGGCTAACAACCACATGTCACTCTAGCACCAGGGGATCCAACACCCTCTGCTAACCTCCACAGCCATTGTACAACATGGTGCCCTAACATACATGCAGGCAATACAGTAATACACATAAAATTAAAATAATAAATATTTTCAAAAGAAAGAAAAACAGGTAAGAGACACTGGTAAAGATGTGGAGACCCGGCAGCTTGTGCTTTTCTGGTGGGGATGTGAAACAGTGGAAAATCAGTTGGCACCTCTGCAAAACACTGAAGACAGAACTACCTTCTAAACCGTCAGTTTTACACTGGTTAATACCCAAGAGAAATGAAAACATATGCTTATGCAAAAAGTTGAACATGTAACAATAAGCATACTGAGAAAGAAATCAGGAAAATACCATTCATGATAACCT